TTACATTTTCTTATCTTTAAGATGCAGATAACACAGACTGTCTACCTCACAGGGATGCTATGACCAAATGAGCTGATGAAAGTTCTTTGAGGTCATTCTCTGCCTCATACCATCAAGAAAAGTACTAATCTGATTTCCATCATCAGAACTCAGTTCTGCCTGTTCTAGAATTTTATATGTATAGAATCATGCAGTATGCACTCTTTATGGCTGGCTTATTTTGGTCAACTAATGTGTTGCTGCAGGGATCAGTACTTGGTAGCTTCTAGTTGCTGAGTAGTCTTCCAATTTATTAATATTCTAAATTTAATTTACTATTTTGCTAGCTTCTGAGAGTAGAAAATTAGATTTTTAATTTTACATTTTTCTTCTTATGTGCAAAGCACTAATGCCATACATTTTCTTCTAAGATTTGCTTTGACTGTGTCCCACAAATTTTGATATAGTGTTTTTTGTCATCATGCAATGCAAACTATTTTCTAACTTCTATTTTGGTTTTCTCATTGACCTATGGGTTACTTAGAAGTGTGTTGATTAATTTTCAAATACTTGAGGTTTCTGTACATAATTTCCTATTATAAATTCCTAGTTTGACTTAACTTTGGTTAAAAAACAAACTGTATGGTTTCAATCGCGGCCTATTTTATTGTGTAGTATATGGGAGAACCTCAGTGAATGCGCTGTGTGCACTTGAATACAAGGCATGGTCTGCAGTCGTTGAATGGAGTATTCTATGAATATCAATTAGGTCAATTTTACTGAATAGTGTTGTTTCAATCTTTTATATCCTTTTTTATTTTTCGCCCACTTGTATAATTCCATTTACTGTACTTTCCATCATTTATGTTTTTTTGACATATATTTCACTTCTACATACATTATAAACATTACAATGTATTATTTTTCTTTAAACTTTGAATTAACTTTTAAAATGTTTAAGAAATAAAAATAATCTTTTATATTTATACACGTATTTTCCATTTTATTTTTTTATTGATGCATAACATTTGTACATATTTGTGGGGTGCCATATGATACATTGATACATGCCTAGAATGGGTAACGATGAAGTCGGAGTATTTAGGACACCCATCACCTCGGGCATTTATCATTTCTTTGTGTTAGGAACATTTCAAATCATTTCTTCTAGCTATTTTGAAATGCATAATACATTGTTGTTAAGGATGGTCACCCTACTGTGCTATGGAACATTAGAACTTACTCCTTGTATCCAACTGTGTTTTTGTATCCATTAACCAACTTCTCTTCATTCTCCCTCCCATCACCCTTTTTCAGTCTCTGGAAATCACCATTCTGCTCTCCACCTCCATGAGACCCACTTACTTAGCTCCCACATCTGAGTGAGAACATGATATTGGTCTTTTTGTGCATGGTTTATTTCACTTAACATGATGTGCAATTCCATCCATGTTGCTGCAAATGACAGAATTTAGTTCTTTTTTATGGCTGAGTATTATCCCGTTGTTAATATATGTGACATGTTCTTATTCCATATCTTTGTGATTGCAAATAGTGCTACAATAAATACAGGTGATGGTGGGGGAGGAGGTAACCCTTTAATTTATTGATTTCTTTTACTTTTGGATAAATACCCAGTAGAGGGATTAAGGGTTCTTCATTCCTCCCTATATGCTGAAAATGCTATCTGGCATCAATTTCTTAACCTTGTAGACCTTTTTTTTAGCATTTCCTAGCAGTGAAGTTTTTTATTTTCCCCTCAGTTTTAGATTAAATGAAACTTTTTTTTTTCCTATTTTTCATATTTGAAAGCTATTTTTGCTAGTGTAGGGGCCAAGAGGATGCTTCCCCTCTGCCATCTAAAGGTTCACTGAAAATGAACCGACAATAGGCAGATTACTAGGAGAGAAAGGCATATAATCTTATTCAACATGTTTAAGAATGGGGGCATCACAGGAGAATGATCACCCTATACCTTGACGAGGTCGAGACGCCCACATCCCCTTCTGCTTGGAGGAAGGGAAGATGGGGCAAATGTAGACATTTCGAGGAGTAGTAAATGACTTTTGGGGGAAAAGAATGTACCCATTGCTCAGACAGTGTTTAATAAATAATTCTTTGGGGGAAATGAATAGTAGCAGAGACAAAGTTTATCTGGGCCCTAGGTATGTTGTCTAATTTTCAATCTCTTTGTCTGTGATGTGAGTTTTAATCTTTGATCAATGAAATCTCAGGGAAGGGATGAAAGGCAATTGTGTTCCTCTTTGGTGTCTCTGGTATTTATTATAGATAGATAAGGAAACTTCAGAGAGTAGTCTCATCCTGTGCTTTGTGAGTGACAAAATTTGAGAGACAAGAGCTCAGGGGTGGAGGGGATGTCAGAGAGAATTGAGGCTGCTTCATTAGTTCAGCATGTCGAAGTGCCATACTTTGGGATATGATTTTCTAAGACCCAATATTGGATATACAATGCTAAGTTGACAGTTTCCTATTTTCATCAGTTTTTGGTCTCTGTTGTTTCTGATGTTGGTTTTCATTCCTATTGTTCACATGTTATGTTCACCAGTTGAGATGCCTTCTGATAGAATGGTGACTTTAATACATATAACAGGAAGATCTTTCTTTGGTATTCATCCTAGCCCCCGATGTCCTGCATTGCTAAGTGGCTGTCTTTGATCTACAGTGAACTTGGTGAAGGGCTGGTTGCATCTTTAGACTCAGTGTGCCTCCAGCACTAAGCATATTTGAGGTGATTTTAGACTTAGCTCCAGGAGGACCCTGGGGCCATGCACTGCAAACTGAGATCTCCTAACTTCGAGGCCTTGGGTCTGCTTGGACTGTGAAACTGTAAATAATATGGCTCTGAGATAGCAGGGCTTTGAGAGTTTGAGATCATAACACTGTGAAATAGTGAGACACAGAAATGTTTATGTGTTTGCCCAGTGCCACACAGTCATGCCAGAATGCTGCCTTCTTTGAATTAGATTCTAGGATTTCTTCTCATCAGAGCACACTGGACATGAGTTGAGAGATAAACTCACATGAAGCATTGCCACATCATAAAATAAACATTTCTATCTGGAGTATATAATCAGATTTTAAATACGATTTTAAATATTGTTTTAAGAGATATTCAGTCTATGAATTGCCCAGAACCCAGAAGGGGGCAACCAGTCACTTTTGGTGTGGATAGGCTCTGTTGTACATTTGGTTTAGATAAACGATGCTACAGATCCACAGACTTTACGTGCCTGGGGAGGTGGGATGTGACGCGTAATCAGTTCAAAGTGCTGAGTGGAAGGCTCCCCAGTTAGGTTGTGGATAAATATGAAATCCCTTCACTCTATCTAAAACAAAAATAACCAGAACTCATCTCCCCTTTTTCTTCCCACACATATGAAAGTGACATGGACACCAGGAAATTTGAAAAAAGAACTAAAGTCCATAGGAAGGAGTGCTTTCTAGGTGAGCCAGGGATGGAGGACAGCTTCATACCCATGCCATTTGCTAAAGTTGGGAGTAGGACATTTGGGAGAGCAATGCTGCCAAATAAAATCATGCTCTGTTTGGGTGAAAACTGCCAAACCTTTGACAATCTGTGGGTGGAAATGTCGAATTTGAATCTCAAGAAATTCTTCTCTACCAAGTCATCCTTTTACACCAGAGTCTTGCTCCAGGAGTAGCCGCACAATCAAAAGTGAGCTTCTTCCCTCTATAAGCCACTTCATGGTGCATAATAGTAATTATATCAATTTCCCTAATTTTAGAGCTGTTAGCTAGGGGGTGTTTTCTGTGTAGTAGAAATGTCAGAGATTATTCATGACAGCTAGATTCACAGGTGTCATGAAAATACAATCCAGGCTAAGGTTAGGATCCTTGAAAATAGATTGCATTAAATAGACAAAATCCTCTTACTTTGTGCTCACCTTGGCCATTTGAGAGAGCCGTGGATCTTTTCACCGGTTGGTGATGATTGCATAGCAGCAAGCAGTCTTTATCTGTGAATACTTGAGGCTGAAAGAAGGAGGATGATAATTCATAATTGGTGTGCTAGCTGACATCCCATTTCAAAGAAGAGATATGACTGGGATGACAGAAAAGTTTGGGGATAGATGGTTGGTGGTGATGGTTGCACAACAATGTGAATATACTTAACGTCACTGAATTATATTCTTTAAAATAATTAAAATGACAAAAAATTTTGTTATGTACTTATTCCCCAATTAAAAAAGAAAAGGCTAGGTGTAAGCCTTTGGATTCCATCTGCAGAAAAAAAAAAATCCCCAATAATCATTCATCCAAACAAAGGCTGTGGAACATAATGTTAGTGGACCAAATAGCTCCTGAGTTGGGTGTTCCTTTGCTTGCAATTCACAAGGAAATATTCAGTGAACAACATATAGATCTGGGTTGTGTTGTCTCCCTCCCGTGACACAATGGGACAGTTGAAGAGTGTGAGGCCATAGAAAGAACATGGGCTTTGGAATAAAATTAAATCGCAGACCAGTTACTAGCCAACTGGGTGATTCAGAGATGTTTTTCCTTCCCTCCTTTCTCTCTCTAGGCTTCAGGTTTTTTGTCTGTAAAATGGTGATGATGGTAATGGGGAGTGCTTAGTACAGTGAAGGCCCTCAATTAATGGTCACGACTACCTCAATAAAAGCCTTTCCCTGTCACAGCAGCCTGCCAGCTACCTCGCCTTCCACAGAGATTGCAAGCAGTAGGAACTTCAGAACTTCACTGCATCATTAACTTTGTAAAGCTTTTAGGTGTCATGTCTTATGCCTTGCTAGGATTGCTTTCTTCATAAAATTCAAAAGAGGGAGTTTCTTAAAGAATCATGTACCTTATTTTTGAAAAAAATGCAACATGTGATGCAGCGTTTTCGCCCCAGTCAAATTTCACTTAAAATACCCGAGAAATTGAAGATTGCCTCAGAAAGACGCTGTGGAGCAACACGTGGCTTTCTGCTGATGTTCGCTGTATCGTGGACCTCACTGCGTCTCTGTTCTTCCCCGCAGACCTTTGCAGGAAACACGAATGCCGACAGCGTGGTGCACCACAAGCTGCTGCACTCCGTGAGAGCCCGGTTTGTTCGCTTCGTGCCCCTGGCGTGGAATCCAAGTGGAAAGATTGGCATGAGGGTCGAGGTCTACGGCTGTTCCTACAGTAAGTACCCACCCACGCCCTTCATCACCGCTCCTGTGAGTGGCGCTGGCCACAGCACATCAGTCCCCTGCACTGGAATGATAATCACCTCATTTTAAGGTTATTTCTAGACTCTAATAACTCACATATACTGGGTTATATTTGAAACTGTGAAATTCAACCCAAAAGTAGGAAAATCCTTCTACTCAGGGCTGAAAAAACTTGGAGGTGATAATATAAAAGTTCAAAATTAAGAATTCTTAGGATTTGAGCAATCATTTGTCTTTAGCAACAAAAGAAAAATTTAAGCTCAGTTCTTCCCCAGCATTGGGGTGAGGTATCATAAAGTCTTCTCTCTACCACCTCAGAGTCACAAGGGAAGAAAGTTCTCCTTCTTGACTTGTTCCAGAAGAGGAGAAAGAACCTTTTAACCCAGTGTAGCTCATGGACAGCTTCCATCTTGTATGGCCTCCACCCATTCGTCTGTGAACTGTGCTGAGTTTGAAAGTAGAGCTCTGTCTTACACAAAGGGAAAGCTGTGAGCATGAGCAGAACTGGCAGTCACAGTACTCAGAGGCAGTCGCCATCCCTGTGATCCTCCCTGTAGGCTTTGTTCTGAGACCTTAACTGAATCCCAATAAATTGTTCTTCTGCCGTAAGCAGTGACATTTTTATATGCTAAAACTCAATGACCCCTGATGCATAAACACCTTTGATCACTAATACTTTCATCTACATTAGTTAGGAGATGCCTGTTTTTTGTTATAGGAGTGCCCACTGGGTGACATGCTACTGTTTTCCATAGTGAGATCAACTGAATGCCTGCATCAGAATCATGTGAAGTGCTCTTTTAAAAGATGCATTTCCCTAGTTCCATCCCTTACATACTAGGTTATGATTTCTGAGAATGGGGACCCAAAAAGTTGAATGTTAACAAACTCTCCAGGTAAGCAATGGACATAGAATGTCTGCTAAAAATAAAGTCTGGCAGGAGGGCATTTACTAGGGAGATGGCTGTATTAATCTTGAATAAACACTTACAAAACATGTATTTTACAACAGATGCATCAACGAACCATTAGGCTCAGGAGGGATTGTCTTCTACGCTAACCCTTGTATCATAAGACACAGAATTCCTGCAAGCGTGTATGCTTCCCATCCTAGGACCTCTGGAGCACCCCGACTCTCTTGTTACCTCTCCTTTAATGACCAACTTTCACTGCTCGGAGGTTTATTTTTAAATACAGCAGGGAGCTTTTATGGTAAAATGAAAAAGCTCATTTATGTATATCATTATTCCAGCCTTCCATTTTGGCCTGAAAACTTATTACTCTTTAACATTTCCTCATACTTTTGCTTCCTCCCAGTCTGGTCAGTTGATACCATCTCGCATGCCCGTTGCTCACCCACCGTCCACTTACTCAGAGAAAGGAGGCACAGCATTGAGTCAAATCATAGGCTGCAGAGTTAAAAGGCACCTTTGAGCAGCGTGTTTAGCATTTTCTGCTGTGAACCCCTTGAGAATCTGATGGCAGCAGGGGACGCCCCCCTCAGAAAACAGGGCCAGTGATAGCAGGCACAGTTTCCACAGTGTTTGGAGGGTCACAGATCTGGGAAAGCTCAATTCAGAACCAAACTAAGAACTCCTGGCTTTGAGATACTCTCACCCTTGCTGGCGGTGGGAAGTTACCCACCTTGGGGAGTTGTTGGACACAGGATGCACTTCTCTGTGGCGACCTTCAAGCGGGCATTCTGTGATCGTCAAGCACTAGCTCCGGTGCTTTGCCACTTCTTCTTCCTTGGGGTGGGTGAGAGAACACAGCTCCCAGTTTCTATCTAAAACCAACACCTCAGCACATCTTCTGAGTCCAATCCTCCGTTTTGGCATTATCATATCTACTTTTTTATTGGATTGTTCCTATAAACATAAAACTTTGCTGCATATACTACCAAAAACCTCTACCACCACCACCACCACCAAAAACCTCTACCACCACCACCACCACCAAAAACCCATGGCCCTATTGAGCAACTACCTCTCCTCTCTTCCCAGAATGGCTTCACTCTAAAACTTATCTATAATTGTTGTCTACACCTGGTCACCTCAATTCACACTGCAACTGACTCCAAACAATTTTGGACATCTGCTGGCTAATTTAACGTGTCAATTAGGCCAGGACTATGGTCCCCAGTTGTCCAGCCACACACTGATCTAGGTGTTGCTGTGATGTGGTTCATGTCTATAATCTCTGACTTGAAGTAAAGGAGATTATCCTAATAATTGGGGTGGGTCTAATTGAACCAGTGGAAACGTTTCAGGAGGAAAATTGAGATTTCCCTGATTCCCCTGGTGAAACATTCCACCTGTGGACTGCAGCTTTGGCTCCTTCCTGACAACCTGCCCTGTGGATCTCAGACTTGCTTTGCCAGCCCACAATAGCACAAGCTATTCCTTACAGTAAATCTCTTAATATATCTGCTTATATAATAAGCATCCTACTGGTCCTGTTTCTCTGGGGGAAATGTGACTAATTCAGGATGTTCTAGAGAAAATACTTCAATCAAGATCACCAGTGACCTCCACAAAGCCAAATCCAGTGGACACTTCATTCAACCTCTCTATGCTTTTCCTCCTAACTCACTTGTTAACCCTACTCCTTCCCAGGGCCCTATCTCAGACCTTCTACTACTTTCCATCTACAGCCCATGCTTTGATGAATTCATAGAGTTCTGTGAATTTGCTCACCATCTACATGCTGGTCACCCCCACATCTGCATCTCCTGGCCTGACCTCTGGAATGAAATATGCAATTGCCTACTTGACATTTCCCCTTGAAGGTGTAACAGATATCTCTAGTTTAACATAGCAACATGGAACTCTTGGTTGCCAGTACCTTCTTCAACCTGCTCATCACATGCTCCTGTCTTGTTAAATGACACCACTGTCCATCCACTTGCCTAAGCAAAACTCTAGGAAGCAGACTTGCTCCCTGCTTTCCACGCCCTCTAGTTCCGTGCAGCTTTTCCACAGGTCACAGTAGTTCTGCCAGTTCCTTCCTCCAAAACATAAATGCCTCTGTCAGTCCTCATCTCAAGTTTTTAAGTAGCCTCCTTCCTACCTGGAATCCCTGCTTTCATGCCACAATTTTCCCCAACCCATTTTTTTTTTCAGTCTCCAAAGTGTTCTTTATAAAGAAGAAATAGAAGCATAAAAGCATAGCATTCCCTTCTCAGTATACTTAAAATGAGATTGAGACTGCTTACTGGCAAGTAAAAATCTGCACTGAACGATCTTTCCCAGAATTTACATGGTGGGCTCCTTCTGCCAATGTGATTCTTTATTCTCATGTCACCTGTTCAGAGAAGTCTATCCTGAGGGTCCCTCTAAAGTCCCCTGTCTTGCTTCCTGTGCATCCAATAGCCTGTGGTTTTACGACATATTTTCATTACTTTTTGGTGCCTACCACAAACCAGAATCTCACAGGTTTGAGGTTGCTTCCCTGTGTGTCGTTCGCCTCCAGGAGCCCCTGCACTAGCATTTGTGCCATGAGACCAGGCGCCTTGTGTACAAAGGGCCAGCACATAGCAGGCAGAGTCATTCCAGACATATCTGTTGAAAGGGCAGGTATGTAAATCAGTCCAGCCTCATCCTCTCTGCTGAGGCAACCTGGTTCATCTGGAATTACTTCTTGTTCACAAACCCATTTTATTTTCTAGGGACAAATTTTCTTTTTATGGACTTACAAATCTTTTTCTCAAAAGTCCAGTTGACTATGCTGCTAAGATTCATAGGAATCTTACACTCTGTAATTTCTTAAGACTTAAAGGTTTACCATTTTGGAAAAATCAGCATGTTAATTAATTCATTCATTAATTCATTTACTTATTTATTCATTCAGTTGACACAATTCATTTAGCACCTTGGATCCCAAACATCCTGCAAGCCTCTAGGGAAATAAGGGGAAATAAGACCTTTTTCTAGACTTTTATAAATCCTGTATTTATATCTGAAGCACTTTTTTATGATTGCATTTCATCAATTAACTGTGCAGTTGTTTGTCTGGCACCTGCCTCCCCTGACCCAACTGCAGACTTCACAACGGCAGCTGTCCCGTGGCCAGTCATGGTGCTGGGCACACAGCATACGTTCGGTGTTTCTAGAATGACTGTCTTTGCTGACAGTCCAGGATAGGTAACAGTGTGCAAATAAAAACATACAATACAGGAATACAGGATTGCATGTGCCTGATAGAATCTCTGCAGGGGGCAAAGGGGGGCGGAGAGGAGAAAGTAAGCCAGTGATACTGTCTGTATCAGGAAGAGTCAGGCAAGGGCACCTGCCTCCCCTGAGTCTCAGAATGTGAAGAGTCACTTCCCTGCCTAAGGAGCTCCAGGCAGCAGAGCGACTGGCACAGAGGAAAGCAAGATGACAACACGTGGCTTTGTCATGCCTAGTGCCCAGGAAGCAAGGAGGAGAAAGTGCGAGAGGAAGGAATCTAGCTCTCTCTGCTCTTGTTTCCCACGCCGTCTGGACCGGCGTTCAGGAGCTCACGATGGAATCGTCCGCTGCCCGAGCAAAGTCAGTGGCGTGGCGGCATGAGAGAGCCCGTCCTCTTCCCTAGCCTCCTCCTAGTAAGGCCTCCCCTCCCGGTCTGGACGGCTCCTGCGCGGGAAGGCCGGCGGCTGCGCGGGGGTCCCCGCGCTCTCCGCCGTCTGCCAGCCTTACAGACGGCTTGCAGAGTGGCCCCCAATGGAGGCTCTTGTTTTGTTTTGTTGTATTTTGTTTTGTTTGTCTTTCTTTTTCTTTCTCCAAACCTAGCTTAAACATCCCGTCCTGCCGGCTGTCCTTCCCACGCGCCTTGGCCCGCCTGCTTTCAGGCACGTCTGCCTCTGAGTCCCCACCGCGCTCCGCGAGCTGTCCCGCAGCCGTCCCACGGTCTCCTTGCTTCCCGCACCTTTCTGAAAGGAGCACTGACGTGTCCCTCCACGGCCCCTCCGGCCTTGGAGAGGGTCCCAGGGGC